AATATATTTATATATAAATATGTAAAAATATAAATATATCAATATTTAAATATATTAATATATAAATATATTTATATTTATAGATTTTATAATTATATAAAGATATATATATATATATATATAAAGATATAAATATATAAATATATAAACATATAAATATTTATATAAATATTTAAAGATATAAATATATAAATATATAAATATATAAATATATAAATATATAAATATATAAATATATAAATATATAAATATATAAATATATAAATATATAAATATATAAATATATAAATATATAAATATATAAATATATAAATATATAAATATATAAATATATAAATATATAAATATATAAATATATAAATATATAAATATATAAATATATAAATATTTAAAAATATAAATACATAAATATATAAATATTTAAAAATATAAATATATATCTTTAATATTTTGTACCTGTTAATATAATTTATATATATTTTCAAACCTTTTTCTAATATTTATTTTTAAAAATATAATATTACTTTTAAAATTTAATATTTAATTTTTTAATTTTTTGTTAAATATATAAATATATAAAAATATCAATATATAAATATATTTGTATTTATAGATTTTATATTTATATATTTATAAAAGTAATTGGATTAAATTTATTATACCCTCATATATTATTATACATTATTAGCGTAATTATAGTTTAATTAAAAATTAGAATACAAATATACTATACTAATATAGCATTATATTATTTTCATTATTATTTTCATTATGTATAAATTACATTGTGTATAAATTACAAAACTAATAATTTGTATACTATACTATATTAATATATAATTTGTATACTAATATAATATACTATATTATAATATTATTTGTATACAAAACTTATATCTTTATATATAAAGATATAAATATATAAATATATAAATATGTAAAAATATAAATATATGTAAAAATATAAAGATATAAATATATAAAGATATAAATATATAAAGATATAAATATATAAATATGTAAAGATATAAATATATATCTTTAATATTTTGTACATGTAAATATAATTTATATATATTTTAAAACTTTTTTCTAATATTTATTTTTAAAAATATAATATTATTTTTAAAATTTAATATTTAAATTTTTAATTTTTTTGTTAAATATATAAATATATATAAATATTGAAATATATATTAAAATATATAAATATATTTGTATTTATAGATTTTATATTTATATAGTTATACTGATATACATTTATTTGTATATAAATATAATTTATTTATAAGTTATTATTGAAAAATCATAGTAACTTAGTGGTTGGAGTTTTAGCCATTAGCGACCAATTTTTTCGGTCGCTAAAATGATTTTTTCTTGTAATATTAGTTTAATAGTCGTATAATATTCAATATAATTTTATATTATATTGTAAAATTTATATAATTTTGCTTATTTTACTTTTATCATGCATATATTTATTAATTTTATTACTGATTATAAACAAATTTTAAACCACATGCAATACTTTCTTTATAATGTCTAAAGGTATATATATATATATATATATATATATATATATATATATATATATATATATATAAATTCTAATAAATTTATTAAATAATATATTAAAATTAACAACAATATAACCATTATTTAATTTATTCAATTGTTTTATTTATTAGATATGTATTTTTTAATTATTATATTATTTAACTATTAACTAATATAATCTATTTTTTAATAAATTATTCTAAAACATATAGTTTTTTTATCATAAAATTTTAATAAAAATATTTTTTAAAATATATAACAAAATATGTTCAAGTTAATTCAACCTTGGATTGAATTTTATATAAAAAAAATATAAAAAAGTTAATGCAACTCAAAATTTTTATTGGACTTAATGAAATTCTATCCAACTCTATTCGTATATACTTGTAATAATATTGTTAGAAAGAAATCACATTATTTTTGGACACCAAATTTACAATACAATTAATAATAAAAAGAAACTAAATAAAGTCAATAAATAGAAATAAGCTACATTATGCCTAAATTTTAATAGTTAATATATTTTGTAAGTTATTTTACAAGTATAAAAAAATTAATGGTCATTTTACTCTAATATTTTTTTTTAGTTTTTTTTAATGATTTAATGATAAAGGTCCAGCTTTAAGTTTAAAAGCAATGTTATGTTATTAAGTGGTCATGAACACATGCTATAGTTCAGTATTTTTTATTTATTTCTTTTTATAGTGTATCATTTCAGAAACTATAAATGAGAAAGTTATTAGGGTTTTTATCTTCTCATTTCTACACGTGATAGGATATTCTTGTCGTCTATATTTGTTTATTAAAGGGATACGAAGCCCAATAACTTTCCGGAGATACGAGATATATAAATATTCAGAAGCCCAAAAATTAAAATAATAGAGATTATATGTTGATTTTTTTCTTTTTCTTTTTTAATTTTTGCTGAAAGTTATAAATTATATATATAAAAAATATGAGTGCTGACATGAAAATTGTTAATCACTAATGTGACATAACACGCTTAATATAGGTTATGATATGATATGGAATTGATGTGATGAAATCTCAAGAACAAAACGTATGGTATTGTAAAAATATGAATAGAAAATTTGTGAGTATATAGAACAACATTTTAATGTTAACAAATCTCTTCTCTATACTTAAAATATTGCATGACCATATCTTTATTGAAGTTAGGATAAACTCTCTCACCAGATTTTACACTAATGTAATTTTTTTTTAAATTACTGAAATTAATAAATTTTAAAAAATTACGCATTTTAATAAATCATCCTTCATAATATATATATATATATATATATATATATATATATATATAAAGAATAAATCATACCAATTTCAATATAAACATTATATTCAAGTCCTACTATATGGATTTTAATATTTTATATTTTAATAATTATTATTATATTATTAATAATTATATCTTTTATATATAAATAATTTTAGTATATTTAATTATTATTAATATTATTTTATTATAATTAATAATAAAATAAACATAATCTTTATAATTATATTATTAATTTTAATAAAAATTATTATAATATTAATTTTAATAACATTATTATTATAAATATTGTTTTATAATTATTAATACTTAAGTAATAATAATAATAATATTATTATTATTATCAAAATTATTAATATTATTTTATTATTAATAATATTATTATTAATATTATCTTATTATTACTAATAGTAACAAAATAAATATTGATATATTGTTAATATTATATTATTAGTAATATCAAAATTATTAATATTATATTCTTATTAATACTATTATTATTATTATTATTATTATTATTATTATTTATTATATTATAGTTGATAATAATTTTAATAATAATATTATTAATAATAAGATAATTTTAATTTTAATATTTAATAATAATAATAATAATAATAATAATAATATAATTACTTATAACATTATTAATACTAAAATAATATTAATAATGAGATAATATTAATATTATTATTTTAGTATTAATAATTATAAAATAATATTTATAATAATAATATTAACAAAACTAATATAATACTTACTATTTAAATTAATAATATAAATATAATAATAATTATTATTATAAATATCATATAATAATACAATAATATAATTATTAAAATATAAAAGTTGAAATTACGACCTCGATATCATTCGACTTCAATATAATGAAATTTTATATATGGTACGAATTATTCCTAAAGTTAAAAAAAAAAATTCGATATATCCTATTTAAATACGTAAGTTTTTTAAAAATTATCTATTTTGGTAATTTTAAAAAATGTACACAATTTTAATAAATAAATCCAATTTCGAAGATCATATTTAATAACGTGATTTATTAATAATTTAGAAATTAATATTATATTAATGTTTAGATATGTTTAATTGGTTGAAATCCAATTAGCTGCATTGGATAATGATATAACACAAGTACCTTAAGGTCGTAATAATAAATGAAAATAGGGTTATCGTTGTTGTTAGATTTAAATCTTTTTTTTGGCTATGATTAATGTGGTTCCCATTAAAGTTGAAGAAATAAATTAAGTAAATAGAGATATTGTTTGTACATGTAACGTAAAGTGTTTATGTTTTGAATAAATTGATGAATCAGTATTTTTGGAAGAATATTTTTCTGAGCCATGAAAAATCAATTAATATTTACGGTGATCTAAATTCTAAAATTTAGTTAAGTAGTTTTTACAAAAGATATCAGTTGTCAACGTTATCATTTTTTATTTGTCTAACCATTCTTTAATTGAAAATAAAAAAAGAAAAAGCACTGATAACGATATCTTTTTTTTATCACATCATTTTCAATGCATATCACTGTCTGTATAATTCTTTGTATTCATCACTTGTACTTGTTAGTAAAAGATTGTTAATACACATTAAGTTTAAAAATTAAGTTCATTTGTTTAAAATAAATTTATCAAAACTAAATATTACTGAAAGTATGAAAAAAAAATATATTTGATAGTGGTGACTTTTGAGTGTTTTTTTGTTTCCAAAAAGTTTTCTGCCCTTTTTGATGCTCAAAGGCCCAAAACGTGAACTTACACATAACAACAAAAGATCTTCATCTTCTTTATCGGAGGGACAATCCTACGTGGAGTCTCAGCCATTGAGCTTGTGCCACATGTCCCTCTCACTGCCACGTGGGATTGAAGAAAAGTAGATCTGATCTCACAATTTTGCGTCTCTCTTTCGTGTGGCGGAGACATCGACATCTCAGACGTCAATCACAAAGCTAAACTCACACAAGCCACCAATTTCTCACCAACAAACAAAGCCGCATATTCCACTTCCAATCTCCACCGTCCCTTCCAAATCCAACGCCCCACAACCAAACCCCTACCAATCACATCACATGCTGCCACTCTATTAAGCTCCAACACCGCCACCTCACTAGATCCCACTCCCACCAATCATGGCCTCCGTAGCACTCACCACCACCCTCCCCTCCCTCCGCCTACGCCGCAACACAACCACCACAGCCACCGCCATCAAACCTAACCGTCTCAGTTCCCTTCCACCTTCCTCACTCAAACCTAACCTCACCACTTCGATTTCCTCCTTCCCGAATTTCTCACTAAAAAAACCAAACCTCGTTTTCACTCGTAAACACTCTTCTCTCACCGTTAGAGCCACTGTATCCTCCATCACTCCGGCTCCGGCGCCGGCACCGGCACCGGTTCAGCCATGGCAAGGCGCCGCAATAAAACCCCTATTAGCCTCCATCGCCACGGGAGTAATCCTCTGGTTCACTCCAGTTCCGGCGGGCGTGAACCGCAACGCGTGGCAATTACTCGCAATCTTCTTGGGCACAATCGTCGGCATTATAACCCAACCGTTGCCCCTCGGCGCGGTGGCGATATTAGGGTTGGGCGTTTCCGTTCTCACCAAAACCCTAACGTTCGCCGCCGCGTTCTCCGGATTCGGTGATCCGATCCCGTGGCTCATCGCACTCGCCTTCTTCTTCGCCAAGGGATTCATCAAAACTGGCCTCGGAAACCGCGTCGCGTACCAGTTCGTGAAGCTCTTCGGCAGCTCCTCGCTTGGGTTAGGCTACAGCCTCGTCTTCAGCGAGGCGCTGCTGGCGCCGGCGATTCCCTCGGTGTCCGCGAGGGCGGGTGGGATCTTCCTCCCGCTCGTGAAGGCGCTGTGCGTGGCATGCGGGAGCAACGCCGGCGACGGGACGGAGAACAGATTGGGGGCGTGGCTCATGCTCACGTGCTTTCAGACTTCGGTGATTACGTCGGCGATGTTTCTGACGGCCATGGCGGCGAATCCGCTCTGCGCGACGCTGACACAGAATTCTATTAACCAAACGATTGGGTGGTTGGATTGGGCCAAAGCTGCAATTGTCCCTGGTTTGGCGTCGTTGGTGCTGGTTCCGTTGATTTTGTATGTTATATACCCTCCGACCCTGAAGAGTAGTCCTGATGCTCCCAAGCTTGCGAGAGAGAAGTTGGAGAAGATGGGGCCCATGACAACCAATGAGAAGATCATGACTGCTACATTGTTTCTCACGGTAATCAAATGAATTCTGATTTGCATACTTGAGTTTGATTTAGTGTTCTAAGCAGTATTTTGTAGAATGTAACATGTGAGTGTGATATTGTAGTTAGGACTAAATTGAACATAATTGACATGAAGTTAAAAGAGTGATATGTGTTTTAAAGGTGGTGGTTTTATTAATGGAATAGACGAATCTACTCTGTTGTTTGTATGAACTGAACGCTACACTTAAACGTGCATTGTGCAATAGGATGGTGAAAGCGAGTCAACTAATTTGGAGCCATGTTTGTGGATGACTTTGCAGTGGGATAAGTCTGTTTATTTGGTTTCTGACAGTCTTGGCTCGTCAGTCTCTTTGCATGGTCGAATGTAGTTTTTGAAATGTGACTGCAAATTATTGTTCTCTTCTGAAAGAAATGCTAATTAATGCACAGCTGGTTCCTACGAACTCATTTGTCACTCATCTCCTAACTTTTGCTTATTTTGTTAGTATTTTAGTTTTGAACGTAATTTTAGCTGCATGTAATAGCATGCTTTGGTTTTTAAACTGTGTTGTAGCGGTTCGTGTTGTTAGTTAAGTGAACATTCAATTTCAGTTTTTGGCCGATCATAAGGCATAGGTGCATTTGCCTTTTGGTCAAGTCAACCGGAAATATCAAACATCGGATTATGACTTAGTCATGCCAACTTTAATTTTGTTTGGTTGCCAGTTTGGTAGAAACTCGCAGCTACTTATTAGGTTGTGAAAGTAATCATGTAGTAGTTGTATCGTTGTATGTCTTGTTTTTTAATAACGTGAATACTTCATGTGGTGTACTTTAAATGCCTAAGAGTCTTTGGTTGTTTAACTTATTCCCTCTCACTTGCCAGGTGGGACTTTGGGTATTTGGAGGACTTCTTAATATTGATGCTGTATCTGCTGCAATTCTTGGATTATCCGTACTTCTTGTCACAGGGGTTGTAACATGGAAGGAGTGCTTAGCTGAAGGAGTTGCCTGGGATACTCTCACATGGTTTGCTGCCCTCATAGCAATGGCTGGGTATTTGAACAAATATGGTCTCATTTCTTGGTTTAGTCAAACTGTAGTCAAGGTATTTTTTTTTTTTTTTTTTTTTTCATTTTCCAATCACTTTACCCTGCTAGCTAACATTCAATTAACATAACTTATGCTGCACCTGATTATTGATGTTTAGTTCTTTTGCTACTTTTTATCTGTTTCTTGGTGGTGAAATTGTAAATGTATGGTTTAATAGTTAACAATTACTTTCATTATGTCATCATCAAATTGTTATGGTTTAAGTTAACAATTACTTTCGTTCTGTCATTGTCAAATTGTTCTAGTTGTTTTACCAAACCAAACGAACACAGGAACCTTTTTTGTGTTTTGAAATATGCTGAAGCTGATCAAGCTTGCCACCAACTGCATATGATAATTGGACATATCTAGTATATAGTGACTGATCAGTTTGCTTGTGTAATCTCTTGGAATGAATTCTTCATCATGCATCTTGTTTCATTACTTTGCTTTGTTCCAATTTCTCAGTTTATCAGCATCACCTTCATAGTTAAAGGCTCAAACCATGATAACTCTTCAGTTGTAATATTATTTTACATTCATCCCTTGTATCATTTCATCAGTACCTTTCAGATCTGTGGCATGTTGACCCACCAGAAAATGCTCAGCAAAAGAGAAATGCTTTGTACAATATGTTTATGTGTTTTATGAAATTTAATTTTACATTTTGAGAAATTATTAGAATAATTTTTTATGTTGATTATTTTAATGAAATGATTTGCTAATGTCATTATTTATGCAGTTTGTTGGTGGATTGGGTCTATCATGGCAACTATCTTTCGGGATTCTAGTCCTTCTCTACTTTTACTCTCATTACTTCTTTGCAAGTGGAGCTGCTCATATTGGTGCTATGTTTACTGCATTTTTGTCTGTTTCCACTGCTCTGGGGACTCCGCCATTCTTTGGAGCCATAGTGCTGTCATTCCTTTCCAACCTTATGGGTGGCCTTACTCATTACGGAATTGGATCAGCTCCAGTGTTTTTCGGGGCCAATTATGTTCCCCTTGCTAAATGGTGGGGTTATGGATTCCTCATTAGTATTGTTAACATTGTAATCTGGCTTGGACTTGGAGGAGTTTGGTGGAAATTCATTGGCTTGTGGTAAGAGGTCTATTTACACAGAATTTATAATTTAAGGTTTGTATACATTCATGTATTAATCCTCCTTATTATGAGCAGTTGAAGCAAACTGCTAATCTTTTTCCCAATTCTTTCTAAAATAAACTTTTTGGGAGGAAGTTTTGATGGAGATTTTGGTGGGACATTAATACAGTTGGGTCATTTTAGATCTGGGTAGAACATTTGATTTCTGAAATGTAAGGACATCCTGCCATTCAGGATATGTTGTAGTTGTACTCCTTGAATGTGTTTTTCCATAAATTATTAAATTTTGCTGAACAATTGTTATACTCTTGCCTTGGACAGCGATAGTGAGTTAAGATAGTTGCTTTAATATAGCAGAACATTGACATTTATCGTTATCTGTCACTTGTGTTCATAAACCTAGTTACGTGTGTTCATTAATACTTGAAAATGTTTTTTGTATGCATCAGCATTTTTTTACTAATCAACGATCATAACGTTGTTACTGATTCATCAGAGAAAATAACTGATTATGTGAAACAAAACTTAAGCAAAACCTGCTTTTGAAGTTTCAGTGAACCACATAATAGTTATTTGGGATATTTTCCTTCGGCAACTCCATAAATTTCTTTTGGCAACCCTCATTCATTATGAAGTGGATTTTTTCAAATGTATTTTTTTACATTCGAAATGGATGATGTTGAACAATTTTATCAGGTTTTCTTCATTATTTTAACCAATTTATTTTGAATTTATCTATTTATTAAAAAAAAGTAAAATTGAATCAATAAAATTTCAAGAATGTGTTTTTAATAAAACTAATTTTCTTAATTAATATTTAAAAAAGATCTTAGAGAGTTTTTTTTTCTTTATGCTAAATAATAAGATCCAAAGAAAATAATTTATTACTTAAGGAGTTTTAATTAGAACTTTCATTCGGTTCAGTTTCGGATTATATAAAAAATTGATTATGCTGATTTATATTTTAAAACCAAAGTTAATGTACTATTCTTGGTTAAAAAGAAATTCTACCATATCTATATAAAAATAATTTATTCAAAATAAAAATAAAAATAAAACATTGATAAAAAAATTAAATTAAAAATATTTTTAAAATATAAGTTATATTAATAAAATTAATTTTAATTTTAAATATATTATTTTATTATATCAATTATAAGATGAAAAATTTATTCACTAAAAGTTAAGAAATATTTTTTTATTTTTATAATTTTTTAGTAATATAATAATATAAAATAAAAGTTTATTTAAAACATTAAATTAAATAAATAAATAACAAAAATAAAAAATTCTTGTTAAAAAAATAAGTCAAACAATAACCTACATTGCAGTCCACACAAGCTTAAAAAATAAAAAGGAAAAAAAAACTGATATTACTTGCGCGAATACAACTTTTAAAATTTAATGGAACTTTAATTTTGTTTTCCAGTATAAAACATTGTTTTTATTATAGACGAAACAAATTTATGGAGAAGTTGAAAATTTTACTTATAGAAAGAAAAGTTGCTATAACATTTAATTAAAATAGAAAGAAAGCAATTGAGTATTCCGAAGCATTGATACATAACTTTAAACAAAATACATTATTTAATAAATATACAAATACTATTTACAATTTTGCCTATAATTTATTGTAGAAAAAGAAATTGAAAATATAGCATTTAATGTCAATAATATATTTTCACTTTTAATAAAAAAACTTTCTTTTTTTAATCATTACTTTTAATAAAATCATATTTGTTAATATTCGGTGGTTTAAACAGACTGAATGAATTGGTAGCTGTTTTAGTCAGATTAAAAACATACTCTTAATATACTTCAATAATATCTTCTTATTAATCTTTTTATACAAATAAAATAATATCTTAAAAATATAGCAAAAAGCATTTAAATTTTTTAGTAAGATAATTTAGAAAAAGTAATTTAAAAAAAAATTAGAAACTATAGTATCTACCACTTTCTTGAAGCTTTGAGATACATAACTAACCATCATAAACATCACGAAATTTGGTGTAAAACCATAGATTGGCAAGAAGCACAAAACAAAAGAATTTTGAAACCAGACGTAATGCAATCACACATAATTCCTACAAACCATCACGGAAGTTCAACAGAGGAGTGTCACATTCTCACCTAAGTTTGTTCTTAGATTTTCTTATTAGTACAAATAATATGTGATTATCATCATAAATCTTAGTCCATATCAGTGATTTCTTCTTACATTACAGAAGGACGTGTGTTCTTTTAGACTAATTTTTTTTATACAAAATAAAACAATCACAGAAGCATTTGCTGAGGAATGTGGGTGTTATTTTTCTTCTGCAGGACACTGCCAGGTTTGATGTATCTTTTGTGTCACTTCTACCTATGCAACACAAACAACAAGTGTAATAGTTAACGTTCTTGTTCTGTTTCTAGAGTTCTTTCTGTTTCTCCTACTCTTCCTACCCCATGTTCGCACCAAAATGTGCATGTGGGCGTGCTAGCTACTCTATAGCCTTTGTTCTGTAGTTGATAATGGGAACATAGATTTCGAAGCTGACATTAGATGTTGTTTTAGCAAATAGACTTTGAAAGGCAATTGCTTTCATTGTAAAGAGACTTGTTCTGGTTTATTTACTCTCACTCTCAGGTTTCATAGTTTAAAGGTATTTCAAAGGAAATTCCTTTAAACTTCCTCTGAAAGTGAGATAGGTAAAACTTCACTTTTTAAATAGTTTTGCAATTGGGCATTTGACCAAAGACAACATCAATGCAATCCCCAACAGAAAAACTAAAATGACGATGCATTTCTTCATATTGGAGCTTATCATGTATCCTTTCTAGCTTATTACTTGATTTTCTCTTCTACTTTTGTTCAGTGGTTTCTTAAGAAGCACATTTGGCATCCTAGATAAGATGGAGGACAAAGATAGCCTTTATTCTGCAGGAAATGAGAAGAGAAGTCCAAATTTCCATTTCTTTAAAGATTCTAGGTAGGGTTTAATAGCATTTCAAAGGATTAAATTTAGATAAATTTCTTGAGAAGAAAATGAATAGTTATCTCAGAAAATCAATTTATGTACCTTAACTCATAAAATTCAGATGAATGAGCATCTTGAAAACACTAAGATACATTAACGGACGGGAAAAGTTTGATTCCTTTTACATTTTTGTATATTTTTATTTATTTTGCACTTGTTTTTGTATCTTTCTCCTTCTTTTCCCCTTTATGTACAAGGAAAATATCTTCTTTTTTGTTTTCCTGAAAAATCCAAAATTTTCGGTACAATGTTTAGTTTGTTCACTAAACAAAATACATAGTATCATTTAAGCTGGAGTTCTTTTTTTCTTCTGAAAATGTTCATATAATAAATTTGAATGACATTAGTTTCATGGTATGTTGCGAGTGCTTAGTTCTAAAGAGAAACGCGCTTGTTTAGTAGTGACTAGAGAGGTTTTAACCACATTGGTTTTAGTTTTAGTTTTTCATTCTCAGTAATTGTTCTGTTGTACTTCTAATTCTAATGCATTTTCATTCTCAAACTAGATTTCAAATGTGACAATCTTGGTCGTGAAATATTATCAATTATATTACCTTCAGCAATGGCTTTGACAGCTTTCTTGAAGCTTTGAGAAGCATAACTAATCATCATAAACATCACGAAATTTGGTGTAAAACCGTAAGTTGGCAAGAAGCACAAAACAAAAGATAAAATAAGAATTTAACCCCTGCTTATATGAGTGAGCGTTAGGCGAGAGGTTATGCTATTTTTGTGACGAGCCATACTCCAAGAACATAGTTTGACGCATGGGAAAATTCAGTTGCATGTGATTGAAGTGGAGGATGAAGCGGAAGACTTGGTGGAATCCATTGAGGTAACCAATAATTCATATTCAAAGGTTGAGAGGGAATCCCCACAGATCTCTATTAATGCTTTGACTGAGGTAGCCAATTTCAGGACAATGAGAATAATGGTTGGTTACTCTTGGATATATTATTTGGAATTTTGACAGATTAACAATGGAGTTCCGAATTCAAAGGAAAGGCATATATTACATTTATAAGGTCATAGTGGCAGGGGTGCACTTGTCGATTCTACAAGTTTGTGCTGAGGAGGAAGATGGTCTGCTGCAGTCCCTTACTATGCATGCATATAAGTCAACAGTTGCAACTGCTATGGACCAACTTCTCTAGCCGTTTGAGGATATTTTTCTGAAGCCAACGCAATTATCACCCTTCCGGGAGGGCTATGATCACACAATACCTTCAGTGCATGGAAGTGACCCAATTAATAAGCGACCATATCAATATGCTAAGAGCCAAAAGGATATCATTGACAAGTTGATAGAAGAGTATTTGAAATCGAGGGTGATACAAAATAGTAGCAGCCTTTTTGCTAGTCCCATAGTTTTGGTGGAGAAAAAAGATGGAACATGGCATCTCTGTATTGATTATAGGGAACTTAATAAGAATACGGTGAAAAATAAGTTCCATATTCCTTTGGTGGATGATTTGTTAGATGAGTTTCATGGATCTTTAATCTTTTCCAAGATTGATATCAAGGCTGGTTATAATCAAGATAGAATGACTCCTATGGACATACACAAAAGAACTTTTAGGACTTATGGAGGCTATGAGTATGCAATGATGTCATTTGGTCTTATTAATGCTCCAACAACTTTTCAGGATTGATGATAGCGATATTTAAAATTTTTTTAAGGCGATTCTTATTGGTGTTTTTGACGATATCTTGATATACAGTAAGAGCTTGGAGGAACACTTGGATCATCTCAAACAGGTACTACTCACTCTTAGAACTAATTTTTTGTTTGCTAGAAGAGGCAAGAGCTACTTTGCGGTCAATAAGGTAGAAGAATATCTTAGTGAGTTCATATCGAGTGCAGGGGTATGTACTGACCAAAGTAAAATAGAAGTGATGATCAATTGGCCTATCCCACGGACCATTAGACAGCTGAGAGGGTTCTTGGGACTTGTAGGATATTACATAAGGTTTATTAAGGAGTATGGAATAGTGGCTAAACCCTTAATGGACATGCTTAAAAAGGATGGGTTCAGTTGGTCACAAAAGGCTAAGCGGGCGTTTCAGAAGTTGAAAGACTTACTCAGTTGTGCACCGGTTTTAGTTCTTCCTGATTTTTCCAAGGAATTTGTGTTAGATGTTGATGCTTCAGGTGGAGGGATAGGGGGTGTTGATGCAAGGACTGCACCCTAAGGTTATATTAACATAATTCTCAACATGCAGTAGCAATCACTATCTACATATGAGAAGGAAATATTAGTTGTTGTTTTTGCAATAAAAAAATGGAGACATTATTTGTTGAACAAACATTTCTTTATCAAAATGAATCACTACAGTTTGAAGTATATATTGGATCAAAGAGTGTCTATTGATTTTCAGCAGAAATGGTTGGTAAAACTTGTGGAGTTTAACTTCTCGATTGAGTACAAAAAAGGGCAAGAGCATATTGTGGTGGATGCTCTTTCAATAAGAGATGGGGTGCAATGTTGCAACATAATTACTCATCAGTTGCAAGCTGATTTAGTACATAAAATTCATTTGTCTTGGGTGAATGATGTGAATCTACAGAAATTCATCAAGGAGGTTCAAGAGGGGTCAGGTGCTCACAAACATTATTAAGTGGCAGCAAAGCGAATTAAGAAGAAAAGGGAAGTTGGTCATTGGCAATGATAAGGAATTAAGAAATGACATCTTAAAATGGATGCATAATTCTGCTGGAGGAGGGCATTCAGGAGTAAATATGCTACTATGCAAAGGGCAAAAACGGTTGTGCATTGGTTAGGGGTGAGTAACAATATTAAATATTTTATCCAACAATGCTCTATTTGTCAGTAATGTAAATATGACACTGGCAACTCCCGGATTACTTCATTGAAGGATTGCCTAACTTGTTTGGGAAGAAGGTTATATTCGTGGTGGTAGATAGGTTTACTAAAGCGACGCATTTCATGGTTTTATCTCACCCTAGTCTTATATGGATAATGTGTTTAAGTTGTATGGGTTCCCAAATACTATATCTAGTGATAGAGATTCTGTTTTCATCAGCCAATTTTGATAAGACTTTATGACCGTGCAAGGAGTTTAGGTTCAGCTTTCGTCCAGCTATCACCCGCAAACGGTTGTCAGACTGTGGACCGTTGTTTCGAAACATATTTGAGTTGAATGTGTAATGATACTCCCAATATATGGTCTAGATGGTTGCCTTTAGCATAGTAGTGGTATAATACTTCATATCATACTACTAGTATAAAATAATGTAGGTAATAATTAACTAATGATTTTAGAAATCAAATAATATATTATTAATAAATAATTAATGATCATTATGAAGAAAATAAAATTTTAAATGTATAATCAAATATATTTAATAATTGTTGGAGGGAGTAAATCATAAATTAATATGGAAGATTCAAAACCCTCTGTTCGTGAGAAGATTCTCCACTGAATATACAGCGAGCCAGCTCCAGTCAATCTTCCTTGACTACTCAAGAATCAAAAGTGGAATTGGTAGATAGAAGCTTGAGAAAAATAGAAGAGATGATGAAATTAATCAAGTTTCAGTTGAGAAGAGCTAGCTAGAGAACGAAACAAGTGGAAGATAAACATTGGAGCGGCAAACAATTTATAATTGGGGATTTCGTTTATGTGAAGCTGAATCCGTATAGGCAAGTTTCGGTGGCCTTTTGAAATAATTCCAAGTTAAGTCCTAAATACTTAGGTCCCTTCAAGGTAATTGAGCGCATTGGTGATATAGCCTACAAAATGGACCTCTCATCTCACGGCAAAGTTCACAATGTTTTTCATGTTTCTCAACTTAAGAAACATGTGGGAAATCTGGTCAGTACCACTGATCTTCCATACCAGCAGGAAGATGTTCTCAGGGAAAAGGAGCCTGAATCTATATTGGACCGCATGACTGTAAGAAGTAAAGGAATGCCAGTGACAAAGGTTGTAGTGAAGTGAAAACACTAGATTCTGGAAGATGTCACTTGGGAGTACTACTATGATTTTTGAAGCAAGCATTCATCCTTGAGGACAAGGAAGTTGTCAAGGGGAGGTAGGAAAAATTATAAAACCGTTAGTCAATTCTTACTAGACTGACACGTGTCTACATGCGAGGGGGTTGGGGTTAGTGGCTATATAAGGCTAGGATGAACTCGTTATAAAGTGTGGATTTTTCTCCAATTCTTTCATCTCTTGTAATAATCAATCCGTTTCCAATATACGTTCTCAGAACCTTTCTCTGTCTTGGCTCCCTGTTTCTGTTTCAGTTCTTTGAGTACTTCATTCCTAGAACTAGTATTATCTCATCAAAACCACACCTTACAAATCGATTTTCTCAATCTGAATTCACTTCATGCTACTATTTAATCACATAATTTGGTGCTTCTAAAATTTCTTTCAAAAATTTGTACCTTGCTTTCATCTCTCCTTTAGTATTCAAGTTTACTTCTATTATTATATGTTTTCCTTGGATTTAGGTCACCTAGCGTTTGATCCTTGACATTTGACACTTCATTTGTGCTTTCCTGTTTCAATTTGTCGTCCAGGCTTTCTATTATTAATGAGAGTAACTGCTGTAACGTCCTGTGTGACACTGGCAACATCATTAGCTGCACTCAAGGGACCAACATCCATGGCTGCATTTCAAGTCTGCCTGCAGATTTGGTTAGCAGTGTCCCTTCTTGCCGATGATCTAGCTGTTGCCGGGCAGGTTAGATACAATCAAATTGTCCTGTTGTGCTAATCCATGCATGTTTTGTACCAAATCATTCACATAGACTATCACGCATGATAATGTTGATCTATACAATAATTACCTGAAAAGTCACATTAAAGGTGATTTTCGATTGGTTGACAATATAAAAGTTCTTACACTGACTTAACATAGCCATTAAATTCAGTTCTTTTGCCGAAATGAAACCAAGTTCTGTTTAACTTCATCTATTGATTGGTTTTGAGAACCTGCAACTCTTTAGGAGCAAAAGAAAGGAAACTTTCGATCTCTATCTACTTCTAATTATATTCGTAACCTCTGATGATATCATGCTTGTTTCAGGCAATACTTGCAGGGGCATTTGCTAACAAGGACTATGAGAAGGCCAAAGCAACTGCATCTCGAGTATTACAGGTTCTTTGCAATGTGAAAAGATTTCCCTATCTTTCTGCCATAAATTGATTAGTTGTAATGCAACAAGCAATTATACTGCAACTGGGTTTGGTTCTGGGGTTTGCTCTTGCATTCATTCTTGGAACAGGACTGCATTTTGGAGCTAAACTTTTTACCAAAGATGTTAATGTCCTTCACCTTATTAGAATTGGGACCCCGGTAACTTTTTGCTCAAATCACTGACGCATCTTTTCAACTCCAAAACGAAGGAACTTAAATTCAGAATGATTATTTTGATCAGTTTGTAGCAGCCACTCAACCCCTCAACGCTTTGGCATTTGTATTTGATGGTATCAACTTTGGGGCATCTGATTTTGCATATTCAGCCATTTCTTTGGTGTGTATTTTTCTGCATGCTATAATAGATTATATACCTTATATTTTGTGCCCTTCAATGTGATACTAATTATAAACGATGCAAGGTCAATATTCAAACTTAGTTAAACTGCTTCATATTATTGTATGGTATAAAGTATAAACCAAAGAATCAGTAGAACAGAAACTGATTTTCTTCCTTATGATCTTCTTTTCACTTTCACAGGTTTTGGTGGCAATTATCAGCATAATTTGTCTACTTATTTTATCATCTGCTGGCGGCTTCATAGGAATTTGGATTGCTTTGACCATCTATGAGTCTTAGAGCATTTGTTGGCCTTTTAAGGTAAATAATTCACCTGTATTTTTATCCTTATGATTTTCCTATTCTTACAACATTGATGAATTACGTTGATGCAGGATTGCAACTGGATCGGGACCCTGGAAGCTGATTAAGAGCTAATAGTGAGAACACCAACCCCATCATCATTGTTTTGATACTTGTTTGGCCCCATTTTCAGTGTGCCAAGTGGATTGGTTGAAATACTATATTTGTGCTTCAGAACGTGCAGAACATAAAAGGCCAAAAAAAAAGAAAAAAAAAAGCACTAAAAGTATGCTTTGACATGTATTGCATAAGTGAAAGAAATTAAATGTATTCATAACTGGACATAAAGTTGTAGTTTTTGTAAGGTTATTAATACATGTATTTGATATTTAATTATTTAGATATTTTGATGAACTAAATAAAGTTCTAAGATTATAACTGGTTGATTTATTTTTAAAAACTAAGGCAGATAATCCCAATTCATCCTGCATTCTACTCATGATGAAGTGTGTTTGGAAATTTGAGGAATTCTATATTTCACTTTCTGGGAACGTGAGAGCATAAAATTATTGCTTTCACGTTGAACATGAATCAAAGTAAAGAAAAACACAAATTTTTAATATTCTCTCTCTTCTATTATTTTAAAGTGCATTTCTTTCAATCATCCATCCCAATCTACATTTTTTTTAATGTTTATTATACTTAATTCTAGTAAGAATCCATTCCTTTTCAATTAAAAATGTCATTAACTAATTTTTGAAAAAAGTCATTTATTAAAAAAAATTCATAATTTAAAAGATTCATTTAAAATTAAAATATAATTTATATATTTCAATTGTTAATGTTAGATATTGTTTAGATATTATTTAATATTATTAGATATTAACCATAATATCAAACAATATCTTCTGTTTATTCTGTTACTTTGAGTTACTCTTTTAGTTGTATCTCTATTATAAATAAACTACCCTATGTGTGATTTATACACAAGAGAGATTAATCACAAACTCTATTTCTTCTATATTCAACATGGTATCTAGAGCTTAAGGTTATTTTGAATTTTTTTTTCCGCCTTTGACCACTATTGAAGTCGCTACCACCGCCGCTATCGCTGTCGGTTATTTGGTAGTGTGAAAGTGCATGTCTAGGAAAGTTCGACAAGGAAAGACTTGGTATTTAAGCGTGTCCATTAGTGACCCACCTCTCTTCCTGGGAACTTACCCGGCTCCATCGGTTCACACCGTTGTCACTATCGCCTCCGCCCTTTATGAGTTCTTCCGCTCCTTTTAGTACTTCCAATTCTGTCAGTACTGCGTCTGATCCTTCCATCTACACTAACTATGTTAATGTGCACTTATCCATTGACAAGTTAACTTGCCCTAATTATGCCACATGGTCATCAGACGTCAGATTATGACTTAAGAGTCAGAAGTATCTTGATCATCTTGCCCCGAAAGCACCTACTCTCACTCCTGGTGAGGAAGACCGTTGGGACACCATTGATGCTCAATTATGCGTGGTTCTCAAGGGTACTCTTGATCCTTCGTTAAAACAAATTTTTCGTTCCTACGAAACATGTGCCAAAATCTGGGAACATGCCAAGTTATTATACACCAATGATACTCAATGTATTTATGATGTCTGTTCTAAATTTGTAGATGTTATTGTCTCTAAACATCAAGATTCTATGACTGATTATATGGGCCAAATTCATGCTCTTTTTCATGAGTTCAATGAGTTATTGTCTCCTTCCCCCGACCCTGCCACCGAGATAAGACAACGATCAAAGTTCTTCATGCTAGGGGCATTACACAGACTTGCTGATCAATATTCACATATTCGTGATCAGATTTTGGGTTCTCCGGTTGTCCCCACCTTGACATCGACCTGCTCCACTCTTTTGCGTATACCAGCAAAACCCAACCCTGACACACCTGCTTCTGTTAATGATTCATCTGCATTGGTATCTCACCGTGATGATCGAACTCGCCCTCGCAAACAGGGAAAATGGCGTCCTAAGTGTGAACATTGTGGCAAGCTAGGTCATAAGATTGACCAGTGTTATGCATTACATGAGTGTGAACATTGTGGCAAACTAGGTCACAAGATTGACAAGTGTTATGCATTACATGGTCGTCCTACTCGATCTACTGCAGCTTGCTCGGACTCGATCTTTCCCCACCTTTATCTCGCTAAGGATCCTCCTTCTTCTATTTCATCGAACACACCTGCTATGTTCAACAAATTTCTCAAATGGTATAAGGATCAACAGTCTTCTAGTTCCACTATGTCTCGTCGCACACACAGGTACATCTTTTGCTTGGTCCGACCCAATCTTCTTCTCGGTCCTTGGGTTTTTTATTCAGGAGTCACCGATCATATTACTCGGTAACAAATCTTTGTTCTCCTCTTTATCCTCTCCCGATCATTTACCTTTTGTTACACTAGTCGATGGCTCTAGAGTATCATCTCATGGTGTTGGAACTGTTAAACGTTTCCCTTCTTTAACCATTGATAATGTTTTTTATGTCCTTGGGTCTCCTTTTAACCTGTTATGCATCAGTCGTCTAACTCGTTCTCTTGATTGTGTTGTTTCTTTTACTAACAATTCTGTGTGTTTACAGGACCGGAGTTCAAAACAGGTGATTGGCACAGGATGTGAGTCTCATGGTCTTTATCATCTTCGTCCCTTTACACATGTTGGTGCAGTTATAGAGTCTCCCTCTCTTCTCCATGCTCAATTAGGTCATCCAAGTCTTGCCAAGTTACGACAACTTGTCCCCGCCTTATCTAAATTGTCTAGTTTGGCATGTGAGTCGTGTCAATTAGGCAAGCATAGTCGTACTTCCTTTCCTCGTAGTGTCACACGTGGTGCTTCGTCCCCTTTTGCTGTGGTTCACTCTGACATTTGGGGACCTAGCCGCGTTAAGTCTACTTTAGGTTTTCAATACTTTGTTACTTTCATTGATGATTATTCCAGATGCACTTGGTTATTTTTGATGAAAAATCGTTCTGAATTATTTCATATCTTTCAAACTTTTTTCAATGAAATTCAAACTCAGTTCGGTGTTTCTATTAGAGTTTTGCGCAGTGATAATGGTCGTGAATATCTTTCTCATTCTTTTAAACAATTCATGGCTTCTCATGGTATTTTGCATCAAACTTCTTGTGCTTATACACCTCAACAAAATGGTGTAGCTGAACGTAAAAATAGACATCTTATTGAAACAACTCGCACTCTTTTAATTCATAAAGAGGTTCCTCAGCATTTTTGGGGTGATGCTCTTCTTACTGCATTTTATCTTGTTAATTGCATGCCATCTTCGGTTCTAGATAATAAAATACCTCATTCCATTTTATTCCCTCATGAACCATGATGGATGGATAAAATATCATTATATTCATGCATTAATTTAGGTTAATTTCATATGTTGTTGCATTATGGGAACGATTTCATCATGTATTATCGTTGTTTTGGATCATACATGTTGGTTTGTGCATTGTTCTTGTAAATAGGTGTTTGGAAGTTTGAATTCATAGTTTGGAGGGAGTTGGTGTCAAGATAGAAAGATTTCATATCAGCAAGTTCCACAGGTACCTTGTGAAATGTTCCACAACCTGTGGATTTGTGGTTCAGAATGCACAGTTGAAGTCAGAGAGTTCCACAGGTGGGTTGTGGATTTTTCCACACTTGTGGAAATTCAAGACGGTTATGACAAGTGGTAACTACCTCAACAAGTGGAGAAAAATGTGGGACACCCTATAAAGAAGGTGGAACGAAACTAAAAAGGGGAGGGGGGGCAACCATTCTCCATTTGTTACGTTCTAGTTATTATCTTTTGGGAATTTTTATATTATGTAGAACTGATTTCCCTGTTATTAGAGGATTGATGTAGTACTCTGAATTATATTTTCTTGTTCTTGACAATTGACGTTTAGTTAATGTTCTTTATCTCAGTGTTCTATTTATAATTTTCAAGTTCATTCCACGAGCAGTTTCACAATTGGGAGATTGGAGGTTGTTCGCGATCCTAAATATAACAGGTTAGGATTTGTCACAATTGGGAAATTGGACATATATCTAATTAGTTTGCAATAGAGAAGATTATTGTTTTTTCATGATTCTATTGAATGGCGTAACTGACCTAAGGGATTGGGGGTTCGGATTCAATGAATAGTTTTGCCTACTAAGGGATTAGGGGTAAAACAACTCTAGGTAAACTCAAGTGGATAATTACATTTCTTGCATCAATTGAAAGGACTGGAATTATATAGGAAAGGGTATGAAATCAATTCTCTAACATATCTTATTTTGATTAAAGTTCTTATTATAATTCTATGTTTGTTATTTTATCCAAATTTTCAATTGCTCAAACTTACGTACATTAGGAATCTAGTATTCAACAAATTCAATCCTAGAGGACGATATTTTATTACTACGTTAACGATTGGTGCACTTGCCAAACGTTCATCAAGTTTTTGGCGCCGTTGTCGGGGATTGATTTTTCTGTTGATATTAGTGATCTAATTCGCTTAAGATTTGAGTGTTAGTTTTTAGGTAGTCAAAACTATTTTTATTTTAGTTATTTTGTTTTTTCTGTTTTTCATTATCTTGATTTAACTAAGTTGAATGTCATTTTCGGGTTTCCTAGTGGAGGTGAGAGAAGATATCATCGTGCTTTTAATGAACATTTCTTTTGACACCAATTATCTACCTCCACTAACTTTGTTTCCTCAGAGTCTAAAGAGTCTCATATTCATCATCCCTGTTTTCAGTATGCTCACCGATTGTTAACTCATACTTTATTTGCTCGGGGTGATAGTACTGCTGTTGTTAGGAAATCAGAATTATTATTCTTATGGGGGATGGTCAACGATGTTCAACTGGATTCAAGTTCATGGCTAGCTCGTCAATTCACTAAGATAGGAAAAGCTTCATCAGGACAAATAGCAATTGGTGGATTGATAACTCCAATCGCATTACATCTCAACATTCCTTTGGAAGATATAAGGCAATAGTCGGGACATCTCGCAATGATTTAGAGATGCTGATAAATAATGAAATGTTGGTCAAACGAGATGGTCACTATTGTTTAGTAATGAATTATGTTGAAGGCATGTCACCACA